AAAAAATACACTTTTCAAATATCAGTAGCATGTCTTTTCAGCCAAGAGATTGACTTGAATTGAATATTTGCGTCAACGTTCAAGTTCATAATCTACCAGTAAAATGAAGCTCAGTTTTATGCACAAGTTAAAATCGGAAGTGGTTGTACACGGGTGAATAAGAAATATGGGCGTATTTGAAGTTCAATAAATGATCGAATTGGCAGCAAAGATTATTTTGTGGAAAAATTTCGTTTTATCCCAGTGTTTTCTAACCTGGGTTCGTTCGAACCCCTGGGGTTACATGGAGGTGTTCCATGAGATTTTAAATTACTGATTTAAAATTTTATAAAACTGAATGTTTGATTTGATACACTCTATATTTTTGATTTAAAACAAGATGAGATACGATAAATTAACTAAACAGCTTTTACTGTAATAACGCAAAGTTCATTTAGAAAAATTTCATTTAGAAAAAATCTTAACAAATATCTATTAACAACATAGAATCTAATAATTGTGTATATAACATACAATTTAGGATATTTTTATTACAGACCCGTTTATCTCAAAGAACGGAATAAATATTTTATTTATCGGGGGACCCCTGAAGGCATACCTTAGGACAGGGGTGGGCAACCTTTTTCGTCTCGCGTGCCAAAATCGGCTAAATTTGACCCCAAACTTCTTCCGCGTGCCGACCGAAATTAAAAACAATGTTTTGCTACTTTCAAAACAAAAATACACAATAATAAACCTTGTACAGACAGATTCACTATTCGGGAAAATATCAGTCCGACAAATAGATTTGATTACTTTCTTATTCTATATCAGTGAGACTTCTGCTGCTGCATTACCGCTGATAGAGATTTTACATTGGGTTTATATTTTTTTAGTTTCAAAGAAATACACGACATACTGATTTCATCTTTCAGGCTACTCCTGTTACGAGACTTAATAAAGGTCATAACCAGGGGCAGATTAAGCCCGTTTGGTGCCCTAAGCACTGAAGACTTTGGTGCCTCCTCATGTGCAATAAAAACAATAAATAACATATAAAAGTGTATTATCCATTACAATTATCACACCCAACAGTAAATAAAACTTTTACGAATATTTTTAGGTTTTTTAACTGTTATATATAGCCTATATATATATCGGCCGTTTACTGCCGATATGATATATATATATCGGCAAACACGCAATATCGGGCCGATATATCGGTTGAGCTCTCATCATGAGGAAGTGTGACAATAAAGATTCATGTCTCCAGTCTCAACGTTAATCGAATCGTCAATCAAAATACGTCAATCGAAATACCAAAGGATACAAGTCACAACTGTAGTTTGATATTTTACCGGTACCTAGTAGTCTACCTCAGAGTGGTTCAAAGTTGCTAGGTTGAAGGACCGCAAAAAGTTTTGATGAGGTCTCGCGGGCCGAAGTCGGAGAGAACCCAGTTATTACCCCTTCAGTTTTAAACTTAATTCCTGAGAAATACCGTTGTATTTTGCGCATCTCGCGGGGCAACCCTAAAATGCGTGAAACGGGAATGACGGGAACTGCGGGAAATGCACTAAAATGCAGGAACTGCAAGAACAACGGGAAATTGCAAAAACTAAAATGCGGGAACTACGGTAAATTTCACTAAGAAGTGTGAATGACGGAAAATCGTCCCGTAAAAAATAAAATTTGGACAAAACGTAACATTATTTAAAGCTAATTTGCATATCATTCCCCCATAAAAGTAAAGTTCATTTTACTATTTTCTGAAAGGTATTTTTATGTTTCTTCCATCTGTAATAAATTAATGGGTGGCAATTGTCTATAAAATAGAAATTCATGTTATGTAATGTCGTCCCGTAAAAAATATTATAGACGAAGAATAGACATATTTCAGAGCTAATATGCGTATCATTCCCACATGTACGTCAAGTCCATTTTACTTTTTTCTGAAAGGTATTTTTATGTTCCTTTCATCTGTAGTAAACTAATGTGTAGCAAGTTTCTATAAAATAAAAATTTATGTCAGGTAATGTTGTCCCGTAATAAATCATTTCTGACGAAATATAAGAGTATTTCAAAGCTGATTTGCATATCAGTCCCCCATAAAAGTACAGTTTATTTTACTATTTTCTGAAAGGTATGTTTTTGTTCCTTCCATCTGTAATAAACTAATGCGCGGCAATTGTCTATAAAATAGAAATTAATGTTAGGTAATGTAGTCCCGTAACAATTATTCTGGACAAATCATAAGAATATTTCTAAGCGTAAGAAAGCGTCGTTGCCTAAGAAATCATCCCAGACGATATAATGTATTATTTCATAGTTAGTTTGCATATCAATCAATCAATCTATTTTTTTTATGAACTCGAAGATAAAATACACAATTAAAAGTGGTTATTATTGTGAACCTTCGCCGAAAATCGAAATTCTTTCTCTGTTTTCACGACATCTAGTGTTGTTGGGCAAATTTCGGTTACCCTGGCCCACAATTCTGGTCCCACATTTTAGTTTAGCGTGCTGCAGATTTGATTAATGAGATTGGTTTTGATGTAAAAGATCATGATATTAGTCCCATGTCTAAATTCATTGGTTATGCCCTGCTAAAAATCACCTAATCGCTGTAAATAGGGTCTCACTACTTACTGAATAGAGCGCGAAGAGCACAGAAGAGATGGAAACATTTTTCTTTCATTATTTATTAGCGTCTCTGAAATTTTAAACAGTTTGATAGGAAACAGTACACAGAGGTAGGAAATGATCACGAGTTTATATCAGTAATCTTCAAATACCCCATCATGACGCACCCTAACCTGGTACACATACTGTGTTCAGGTTGTGCGTCATCTTGGTACACATACTTCATGACGCAACCTAAGCTGGTACACATACTGTGTCCAGGTTGTACACCATCTTGGTGCACATACTTTATGACACATTCTAACCTGGTACACATACTGTGTTCTGGAGTTCCAAAATTTATTTGATTTTGCTTATTGGTGCGCTCATATTACGTCATGTGAGGTTATTTAAAGATGTTAAAGATTACTGATATAAACTCGTGATCATTCCCTACTACTGCATACTGTTTCCCATCAAATTGTTTAAAATTTCACGGACGCTAATAAATAATGAAAGAAAAATGTTTCCCTCTCTTCTGCGCTGTTTCGCGCTCTATTCAGTAAGTAGTAAGACCGCTGTAAATATATGCACGATTAACCCTCTGACCACTGCGAAATTGTGGGACGGCAAATTGTGGGCTAGGGTAGTCACGTCCGTCTGCCCGTAACATAAATCAGTGTTGAGGAGTCTGAGCTGGGCATTTGAGTCGGAGTTATATTTTCAAACCCCCCTGGTTCGGATTTTCCCGGACTCAGAATTTCAGTTTTTAAATGGCGATGAAAGAGTCAAATTTTTTACAGAAGCTCAAAAAGCACCAAGTTTATTAAGCGCTTCTTGAAAATTTTGGAAATGAAGGATTGCATGCGCCAAGATTTTTCGTAGCTGGAGTTGAACTCAATTTTTTTTCCAAATCGGAGTCGAAAGTTGGAATGGTTTGTAATATTTTCCTCAAATTCACACCCCTGCCTTCGCTCAATGAGAATATAAATATTTTGTGCTTCTGGAGAAACAAACCCGTTTAGGAGCCCTAACCCGTTAAACAGTCGGGGAAGCATCCATCAAACTAGATTTTCATTGGCGAAGTCGAGAAGACAGTGTGCGAGCCAGGTGTATCATGCCATAAGTGACTTTACTAAGAATACTAACATATTTTACATCACTTGTCACTGAACCATAGTCGGATAATTGTTATCCAGCACTATGCCAGAACGTACCAAGGATTGCTAAACGGTATTTCTTTTATTTCTTCAATTGAAGTAGTGAAGTTGGGTTCTGAATATTATATCAAAACTTGTCCGTGATTGCGCTCTTGAAATGAAGGCAATCATACCCGAGTCATGTTTAGGATAGGATTTACATATTTATCCCGGGGGAAAAGAAAGACGATAAAGCGGCTTAACCCTATGGCGAACCACGGCTTCTCGTCCGGTTACCATTCCATGTCGGGTATGAGATTATTTAGTTATCCGTTTTCTGAATCATGGACTTGACTGTGGAAGAAGCCGTAACCGACCAGCGGTTACGTGAACCACCATACGGTGGCGTGGAGTCCAGCAATCATCTCGCACATAACTATCACCGCATGGGATTCGAACCCACGCAGAGTAATCAAAGGTGCGGGCGGTGGCGAGCGTATTCCTAACGCTCAGCACGATGAGCCACACCGCCGCGCCAAAACGTTCTCACGATTACCTGGACAGGGCAGACATAACCAGTGAAGCGACATCGTTTTCAGATTAGAACGCACAGATTAAACGAGTGCTTAGGAGACTGTAGTCCAGAGCTATCATTAACGGTAGCTTCAACCTAGAATACTTTTCGGCGTCTTGATATTCAAGATTTAAACAAAATTTGTGTTGTCTACGGATGCCTGATAATTTCGATCTAAGAAATTATTTGACATCCGTAGTCAACACCTAACACAAATTTTGCGTGAATCTTGAATATCGAACCTTATGTTGCAAATTGCGGCCAATATAAAATAAGCAGCAGTTTTTGGCGTCAAAACTTTCGTCATTCTTTTTTATAATATTGTTATAATGTTATGATTTTGGAGAACACAACAATATGCAACAGAACAATTTTTGAAAGTGTTAGTGAAATAGAAAAAAAAAGTGAAATAAAATTTGAAAAAGTTTGGAACATATGCATTGTGAACACAACGACAAAAAGATAGGAAATCAGGAAAAAAAGAGAGTCAACACCGGACAGAAAGTTTTGCTTTTAAAAGCATACCAAGCTGTTTGAAGAAAATTATTTGTTGAATTTATGCGATAGGCACCATCGTGACTTAGGTCGTTCGCAAACGTCGATCACGTGTCAAAATTGTCTTTGATTTTTTCCTGGTCGATATGCCTGGGCAGACTATGTTACTCATACTAATATAAATCGGGAAATTTCAATAAAAAAATTTGTTCCTAACGTCTGAAAAAATTGAAAAAAAAGTATGGCGCAAATGGAATAATGCATGATTAAACTTCAAAAAACAAAAAATATATAATTTTGGACAGAAAAATGCAGGAATATGGTTCTCGTACTTCCTGTAACATGGCTATGACAACGTTTGTCACCAACTAACGGAAATTAGGAAAATTTGTGGCAAAGCATCAGAACATAATATACAAGCATAAAATGCTAGATAATACAAAAAAATTGTTCATGTCAAATACAAAATAAGTTTCAAAGAATATAAATCACCAGCTTCAGTAATACAGCTGTATCATTACTATCATCAAATTCGCAGAGTCCCCGAGCTTAACACTTTGGTAAATATATCTATATGTGTATATTATAAACAAAGGTCACGACTCCAAGTTGTATGATAAACTTAAATAACTACTTTTTGCTATGATAACACTATTACTATATATATATATATATATATACTTTATATAGCATTTTTTTTGTGCTCTTGGAAGTATACTATCAGTTTGTACCGTGCTATTGAAATCAATATTTGCTCAATTTGGGCAGTGAAACGGATTGTGGAATCAAAGCCCCTTTTCAGTGGAATATAGGCTTTGGGGGCAAAGGGGGTTTCGGGTTGAAGTTCGTACGATTTGAAAAGTTTTTATTGAAATGCTGTGGTGTTATTAGGTTTTGATATGTAAAATATGACCCTGGAGAAGTGGGAGGTTTTGATTTTGCATTGGACGAATCCGTCGTCCGTACTCTATCTGATTTGAGGAAATTGCCATCCACGGATTCGTAACTTAAATTAACAAATGCATCGTCGTTATTGTTTCCTGTATCAACTTGCTTATACGATTTCAATAGTACATTATTTTGTTTGTTGTGTTTAGATTTTTCAAAATTATCACGTGTGACGTCATCGTATGTGACGTCATATGACCCTTGCTGGACATTTTCAGTGTGTGAACTATCAGAGTTCGAATTTTTGTCACTTTTGGAATCAGCATATTCGTCTTCATCTGCGAATAAATAAAGTCGCGAATTCTCTGAGATCATTTCTTCACGGAATATTTCAGCCATTGTTTTTTGCCGCGATTCCACCAGACGAATTCGCTCCTCATCAAACGTGCTTTCAGAGTTCGAGTTTGGCAAATTAGTTGCTTTTAATCCCGGCATGATGTAATTCTCGTCGTATGGCAGTGCGGATTCAGGCGACGACGTATTTGCGTCACTTGTTGACGTAATTTTACCGCCATCTTGATTTTTTGTATTGTTAGTTTTAAGGTACGAAAATATTTCTGTAACTAGAGAATTTTCACCTAAGCTATCAAAATCGTATCCCGATATATTGCCTTCGTCCGAGTCCGATTTCACCCCGTCAGGTGATTTGTCGTTGACTTTGGCATCTTCTGTTCTATCCTGTGTGATAACCTCCGATGTTGGCTTGGGTGTCAGAGCGATTGGTGGCGGTGGTGCAGGGCGTTTCGTAGATGGTTTCTTTTTTAATCCTCTCTGTATCGGCGTGGAAGTGGCCGCGGGTTCTTGTGGAAACATTTTAATAGGAAGAGAAGATGTTTTTTGCGATGTTTCGCGTGGAATGACGGGGTTGTGTACTGAATTTAACTTATTCGTTGGCTTAACGGTACCATCCGCTGTGGATTCTAGTAAATCATTCTCCACCGAGATTCCTGTCGGTAGTGTTCGATTTCTTTCTGAATTATCATCTTCAAATACATTTGGCATTTCGTTCAGTGCTTCACATGATTCTGTTAATGACAGCTCACATGGACTGTGGTGATTAGAGTCTATATGCATGTCTGGTGATGAAGATGCGTTATCCGGAACTTGACCTTCCAATACAGATTGGTGAAACGTTGAGAAACTCAATGGTCGTTCAGAATCCCTGAAAAATATACTTTTTATTTTTGACAGACTACAGGATTTCAGTCTTCATTTATAACAAATATATATTGAAAGAAAAATATGTAGCCAAAAGAAAATATTTCTTATATACAAATCTAAGTGAACAATTCAAGACACGTGGCCTTATTTTTCTGCATAGAAGTTTTCACATCAAAACGTATAAATCACGTATAAAACGTATGAATAACATTTTGGCTATATATCAAATAATCTCGTTCATGTTAACACAATTGATATTTCTTCAGATTCCAGAGAGTACTGATAGACTGTACAATCCGTATTATGCATCGCAATATTATCTACCGTATGGCCGTATCACCATAAGGTGAACTTCAAATCCTTTTTTGTCAATATCGATAGTGCGCATTATAGGCCATCAATGTATGTACCAGCACCAGTACCCGATGCGTATTATAGTCTTGTGGTTAAAAACCCAATCTAAGCAATTTACTGGCAGTGTGCCATATAACCAAGTGCGCGTTATTGTACGCAAAATACGATAGATAAATATTTATTACCCACCGTGAATCGCAACCATTGTTTGAAAAACGAAATGCAATTACCTCGCTAAAGCTTCCCTCATTTTAACTCCCGAAGATGTTGGCATCGTGGCATGTTTCTCCATTTTGTTTATTTCTTCTGTTGCTATGTTCTCTCTACTGTCCGCTTTCAAGTTTTCTTTGGACGAATGCCTCGAACTATTATCCACTGTAATGATTCCAGATTCGTTGGCATCGCCAAACATGGTACCGGCTACTGTGTATTTCCCGCTTGGTAATAGATCAACACCTCGTACACCGTCACAAGGTTCCGAAATAACTAACATTCCGTGGGATTTGCTTTTCTTTGAAAAAGGTCGAAAACTGAAATGACGAGATTTCGTTGAAGGCGACGTTTCGGTTGGAAGAACTGTTTTCCTGCTCTCTCGTTTCCCGGAATTGAACGTGAATGCACGACGAAGTCGAAATTTCGGTGTTGGTAGCCGAAATCGACGACGACGCCGAGATCCAAACGCGGAATCGAAAGATCCCGATGCACTACTTTCGTACATTGAATGTGATCGTCGTTTTCGGTCTCCAAAAATTCGTCTGCAAGGTTGAATTATTGAGTGTTAAATCAACCAAAGCTAATTTACATGATGCAAAACTTCTTCAAAAATATAGCTACGATGACCATGGCACCTAGCAAATAAGTAAAAGTAACAGCCTATTACCTAAACCGACAAATTGGTTTGAATAAATTCACGGTACGTTGTTATATCGTTATAAAAATGAGTATGCCAATATGACGTAACAATATTCAAAGTGTATTTCCTGGAGTGAAAACACTAAAAACTAACTAGCTAATATACTGGCCTTTCACACCCATTAGATGCGTTATTTTTGTCAAATTGCTTACATAAATGTTAACTGCCAGTTTCTGAGCTTGACAAGTTACTAATTACATAGGATTTTTATATGAGATGAATAAAAAAATTTACTTGGAAGTAATTTTACAATATACGTAAAACATTGGAAAGGTATTCAAATATCTAAAACTTTTTATTGCCTTTATGGTTCATTCACAAAAAAACTGCATTTTACCAATTTTTTTAACAGTGCCAGGGTGAAAGTTCATCATAAACTAAAATCGATCATTAAACGAAACAATAAACTGTTGTAATCTAGTCATGCGTGCTAACTGCCTCATCATGGGCGCCAAAACGTCACATACCTGAACAAACTTCTTCCGCGTTTCTTTTGTGAAGAGAACGAACTCAAGTCTGGATTTGACATTGACATTTGTTTTGGCGATTCCACAACGCTCAATTTTGTTGGCAGTGTTTCGCTTCCAGCCCAGGATTTTCTGTTTTTATTCGCAGCTTTTTCCGCTTTTCGTAATCGCTTATTACCGGCTGCTATGTCAGTAACTATTCTGGGAGTCGATATTTCGCTAGATCCAAATTCTTGACTAGAAACGGGAGAGCGAGAATCGTTTTTGTTACTCGATTTTTCAGCTGACGAACACTCCTCTCTCCTTTGCCGAAAAAACTTGATAAGATCTTCAGTTTCTTGCAATTTTTGTCGCGTTACAGGATCAAGATGGTTGTCGTGACCATTAAGGAGTTGATTATCATCGTGAGACCCGGAATTGGACTTTTTTCCATCTGCGGCAGGACTGGGGTCAGTCCCAAATTGACTTGTCGTTGTATCTTTCCTCGTCTGAGAAAATACTTTTAAATCGTCTTCGCTTGGTTTGAAAGAAGAGAAGCGATGGGTAGGCGATCCTTCTAAGGAATTAACATCTGCGAAAGAGGTACTGTAACGTTGTTTTTGTTTTTGGTGTTGATCGGAGTCAATATTACGCTCCGGTTCTTTGGCGCTTCGATGTCTGACGAATTTATCAGATCTGGTGGATTCACTCCTCTCTATTTTAGGCGGGGGATAGCTGGGAGGTGGCGGGACTATTATGTCTCTAAGATTGTTTTCGACGACCGGTTCTGATCTAGGTGGTGGAGGGAGCGGTTCCGGAATGTCACCCTCAAGGTTTTGCGTTTTCTTCATTCCGCTATCTTCCGCGCCAAGAACTTTCATTAAATCCGTCCAATCTCTTTCACTACCAGAATCGCTCATTTTCATTTCTTCTACGTCAGCGACGACGTAACGCTTTGACCTTTGACTTGGCGGTGTAGGGATTAAATATCCATTTGCACTAGGAATATCTACTTGATCGTCATCGCTATCCACAGGCAAAATTGACCTGAAATTACCGGTGTTCTCTATTCTGCCGCCTGGAGATGAGAATCTGGATTCTGGGGACGAATTAATACGATATTCGTGAATCTCCTCATACGTTGCATCCTCTAACGTGTTATCAAATACCAGTGATTCGTTATTGTTTTTATCATTATCGAATTCATTTCCAGCACTCTTTGTATTATGAATTAAAATATCCGCAGCAAAGTCGTTTTCATATTCTACGTCATCTGTATCGAAATCCACGGGTTCCCTTGATAATGGAGGAGGCGTTGCTGGTCGATGGGGAACACTCTTTTTTGGTAGGGTGTTAACAGAAAACGGTGCATTTTTGCTGAATATGACTGCAGGTGTGACTGGCTCAGAAAAATCGCAATCACGATGAGTATTTGATCTCTCAAGATGTTGACAAACGTCTGGAACTGAGTTTTTATTCATCGCGTACATGGATGAAGTTGGCGGGTAATTCCAGAATGATGGTTTGACTTTGTGAGGCCCAAAGTAGATGGGGGCTAAAATAGATATAAATAAATTTATTACATTGCTATAAAGACATATGCCAAATGCTTTGTTAATAAAGTTTCGGATTTTGGAGGAAAAAAATTAATAACCCGGAATCGGGAATCAAGAGTTCAAAGTTTTTCTTAGCCCGGTTTCGGAGTTATATAAATTACTGCAACCTTAGAAAACCACAGTGAGAAATAAACATTACCGTCAAAATGGAGCGAAATTTTCAATTGTAGTATATTATTTTGCAAATAATAAACATTCATTTAATTATTAAACATAATTGCAAGACAAAACTTTAGAAATATAAATAATTATAAAAACTAATAAATATTAGAAATGTATCAACGCAGAAAATTCTGGCAAGTCTACTTCACAAATGCTGTTTCTGGCAAAATATTGCTTCCATACCTTCCATTAACACCTCATGTTCAGAGAAAACTTTAGATTAAAGTTAAAAGTTCGAGAAATGAAAATCTAAAAAATGAAAATGCAATTACCGTTTGTACTCTCCGATATAGGTAATGTGAGAACCATGTCAATATTTCCATATACTCTGCAGTAGCCGGCAACCATGAAAGCAAAATTATGGGCAGCTTGGGGCTCCATGGAGAGTTGTAACTCCTGAAAATACATAAATTCAAAGCGATAAAATAACTGTGATGTCACCGCAGGTTTTTAAACAGCGTATTCGAATCCCATGCCCACCACTTTACCTCACCAGGGTGTAAGACATTTGTTAGACAATGTCGAACCGGAAAGATGCCAGTCCTTCCAACATAACGCCTCTTACATATCAAAGGCTGCTTGTTTGAAGCAAAAAGCATAAAAATACGTCTTATAAAAAAAACGGTGCTCCCGAAGTATGCGAACCAAGATGGCGGACATCGGAACTTAACATGGGTAACAGGTTAGGGTTAGGCGATAATTTTTTTCCAATTTTCCTTATTTTAGTCCTATTATCAGTTCGAAGACTAGCCAAGAGCCTCCCGTAGTATTTATACCTAAAATTTCGGCCTAACCCTAACCTAGTACACATATTACATTCCGATGTCCGCCATCTTGGTTCGCATACTTCGGGAGCCCCAAAAAAACTGTAAGAACTATCAAATTACAAAATATAAAAATATAATTTCTAATAAATCAAAAAAGAGTTAAAAGTTTGAAATTGATTTCTCACTAACAGGAAGTGCAACGGAATCGAACCCGCGATCTTCAACTCATACCTGTTTGTCTGCAAATTCCAGCTTTACTATGGTCGTACTTGATTCAGCTTGACATGGGGCTACTTCGAAGCCAGTCACGTGATGAAATTCCGACAACACGGAAACCATCTTTGTTTTCGAATTAATCATCTGGCTTATACCGTAATGATGACCGACAAGTATTGTAATGTCGGACTCCAATAAACCCTGAAACAACAATAATATCAAAAACTCGAAGTAACTCGAGTCATATAAATGAAATGACTCTGACTCACTAACTCAGCAATTGACTCGACTTTGAGACTCAGATGACTCGTGACTAGACTTGCTACTCAGGGTTTAGAGACTTCAACATTTAATGTCAATATTTGACAAATTGGGAGTTAAAATCAATCAAGAATCTTAAGTAGATTTCACCGTGAAAAAAAGTCTGTCAATGACAAGGCTGAAATAAAGTCGCTCATAACAGTAAAGTAAAGAAATTCAGATAAATATTAAAGTCTTAAATGGTTTAAATCCATCAATGCAAAACATTTTACACCACTCTATATCTTTAATATGACAGAATGTTACATGTGTTATATCTATCCGCGCCCAAAGCTTCTTAACAAATCATATTTATCTTTAATGTGAACGACTGTCGAGAAAAAAGGTACTCCCGTAGTGTATGTACTAGGTTAGGGTTAGGCCATAATTTTATTCTTATTTTCCTCATTTTAGTTCTATTACGAGTACGGGGACTGTCTGTGTTAGCCAAGTGAATATACCCCCTGCCCATAGTAATCAGTCCCTTTACACAACTTGATGTAAAATAGGTGAACAAAATTAGTTATCTCCATATTGATATAAGATTCCAACCCAAGATTTACCAACCTGCATGGATGCTGAAAAGTATCTTCCGCCGAAGAGATGATGTGGCGACAATATTTTCAAATACTGAAGTCGTAATTGCAACAAAGCGGTATCTGCATTTCCACTTGTTGGCGACATGGGAGAAAATGGAATAACCGGACTCGTCGGATATTGACTAAAAACGGCTGTATTCATCGAAGCCTTGGAAAAAATAACAATTTTTAAAAGATGTATTTCATAAAAAATAAGCCCTAAGCGAGTGTATCTCAAGTTTCCCAGTTGTTCAACTTATCCCAATTTTGTGATCTTCATATGCTAACCCTTACCTTTATCTAAAATAGTATATTGATTCCTACCCAGAATATAGCATGAATCTTACTTCACGAGCCTACTTTAAAAATTTGCTCCTCCATATATATATCTACCCTAACATAAGACCAGTGGCACAAGTAGAAGTGCGGGACAATTGGGTCAACATAGATAGCACTTCATTGTTGAGGTTGAGGAGGCCAGAGCATTCGACTCGACTCGAGTTAAAGTCGAAATTTGAGTTACGGAGACTCGAAGAGACCCGGGTCACCTAATGGAACAACTCGTGCTCGTCATAGCTCAGCGATTGACTCGAATCTCGAGTGGACTATATTGGACTCACAACTCGGGGTTTAGGCACCTCTACCCAACACAGAATTGTATGGTGTGGTGAAATAATTTTTGTCACCTTCAAATGTTGTTGCAATGATTTCCTGACGCTTCTTGCGGACGGATTTTCTCTTTGCATTGTACAAACCAACGATGGAGGAAGAAACCTTCTCAAACCATATTCCTTCCTGTAAAATTTTTAAAATCTCAAAGACTTGACGTTGCAAGTTACCCACAAAAATAATTCGTTTTATCGCTATGGACTCACTCGATATTCGTTGCATTTAAAATTGTAGTGAGCAAATTCATTCGCACTCTTTAGTTATTTTCAAATCGAGTGACAAATACTCAACTTTTTACCGACACTCACTCTCACAAAACTCAATTCATCGCACAAATCGTTGTTACCCCCTTTATCATTCCTATCTTGCTAAATTACTCAATAATTACTCTAATATACATAAAATTACTCTTCATTGAACTCATTCAAAATCACTCCGAGTACAACAACAACTTCAACACTCATATCATAGGAATACACTCATAACCTCCTAATCATAATAGTCACTACTGTACTACTTATTATAACACACTCACTCGATATATTTCAGATTCAATTTCCCACTCAAATTTGAGAAACGGAACACGTTTCTTTGTCCGTGTGACTCGAGCGAATTACTCTTTTTCGGTTGCTTGTCGACAGGTGGGGTCGGAGGTAACGCACTCAACACGAGTTCTTGCATTTGTATACTCGCTAATTTGATGATTTCGTCCCGATTCAAATCGTCTGTATACACGTCGCCTGTTGAAAAAAATACTTATGATACTTAACTTAAAATTGTTACAAACAATCTTCTTTTTATTAATAGGAATACGGTAATTTAGAATTTTGTTAAAATCAGCATCTTACAATAAGCAATTAGTCCATTATTATTAGTCCAAACCAGCATTTTAACAGAGGCAACTTACATCGCTGTATTATAACTAAGCTAGCTCAAAACCGCAAGTTGGAAGAAATACAAATATTCGATTGACTATAGAGTTTACAAGTCAGGGCTGTGAAGTCGGAGTTCTGGTTCCGGAGTCGTGTGTCGAAATTTTAAATTTTTGTACGACCCGAAGTTCAAGTTCGATTCAATTTATTGTCTATCCGGAGCTGACTACAGTGAGCTCTTACTTCCTCACCTGAAACGACGTCGTTGACGCATTGCATGTACAAGTAGCGGAAAGCTTCTGGATCATTCCTAGCTAACTTGTGAAAATCTTTCGGCATGAATTCCAACCGGAAGTGACACGAATGATGCCGGAAAGAGGGGTTACTGACCACCTGAAATGGCAATCAAGAGATTCTCCAATTTAATAACTGTTAAACTAGTATTGGGTCACCCTGTATAAAATACAAAGTTTGGAAATATTGGTCAAATAAAACACGTAGGAAAACCAACGCGAACAGGCAAAAAATTAAACACTCGATATCAAATTTTGCACATATTTATATACAGCACCTTCGATAGACAATCCCAAGGTGCAATGAGCAGAGAATCTGGCGAAGAACTGCTCAATGGAGTTTGATCTGACGATATTGAACCATACAATGATGTCTTACTCGTATTTTCATCTAAAAAAAATGGAAAATATAAATCATATATTGAAATTCAAAGACGTTATTAACCCTCAAGTTGCGAGTGCTGTCGAGTCACATGGTCATGCGAGTTCGAAGTCGATTCAATCACCCAGACAAGTTTCACTGGTAATTGAGTACGACTCAGATTCATTTCGTTTAGTTAAAGTCATTTCTCAACGTGGTCTTACAAGTGGGCTTGTCATCAATTAGAAACTGAAAATAAGAAAATTTATGCTCGGGGCTGAACCAAGGTTTGGAATTGAACTTGACAAGCTGATAAATAGACACAAGGATTGGCCATTGACACGTTTACTGTAAAAAAAATTTTTTCATGATACTCGAAATTTTTATTAAAAGTTTTATGGGCCGAAGACTTCCTTTGTCGAGAATAATGCTTGGAAACCATCAGTTTAGATGACGCGAGCAACTTCGAGGGGTCATTCATTAATGGTGACTCAATTATTGCTTCCTTTGTTAATTTTATTTTTTTATCAAATACGAAATTTTTATAGGTGAGAGACCAACTTGAATAACTAGCTTTGAAGGAAAACTTATCCTGCCGCAATCACGTGCTATCCGAATGAACGTCCGGAGCCTAGAATTAGTTGTCTTCCCAATCCGGAATTTCGTGAAAAAACTCACTCTGTTCTCCATTGTCTGCAGGTGGCGATAAAACGAGAGAAAACAAGTTTGGATCTTTGAATCCAAGTTTATCACAAAGCCCGGCCACCGCATCACCAGCTGTTGTTTCGGGAAGAAATTGAAACGATCTCGTTTGATTGATCTCGAGTTCGATTCTCAGCACACCAGGCGAAACAAGAAGTGGACTTGAACCTTCAACCTGAGGGTGTATTAAAGAGGGTCTTAAAATGTGGGGTCCCACTTATCCCAATCGTATGGAACTCACTCTATATCTAATATGGGCAAACTACGATCTGCGGGCCAAATCAGGCTCGCTGGGTAATTCAATCTGGCCCGCGGGCTAAATTCAGTGCGTTCAGTAATTGAATCTGGCCCGCCTGATGCTGCCACAACCAAACGAAAGCCAAATTTGGATGTTTTAACTAAAAAAATAGCTCAAGGAATTTGTTGAGATTGCGAGGCTTAGTTTTCCAATTTTGCTTTTGTAACACAGTTCATAAAATGTAACTTTTTACGTCACACCTACACGGCCCGCCAGTCTGGGTGGGCGAAATTTTTGGCCCCAGGTCCAAGAACCTTGCTCTCCCCTGCTTTATATGAATACTCTAATCTTCTACAAAACTATTTTATCTATCCCAACCCAGAACATAGCATGAATCCCATTTCTTATGATTATTCCTATCATTTGTTCCGCAATATACATCGAACCTAACTCATAACAGTGGGGCAAGTAGGGCAAACGTGGGGCGAGTGGTACAAGTGTGGAAAAATTGGACACGTGTGGGACAAGAATATAATAAGTGAAAAAATGTGGCAAAGCCTGACAAGAGTGCTTACGAGGGGGTGGAAAGGTGTGTGACCAAGTGTGACCAAGAAAGTGTGACCAGCGGGAAGCGACATTTTCGGTAGATTTTCTCAATGAGAATACATATTTGGGGGCTCCCGAAGTATGCGAACCAAGATGGCGGACATCGGAATGTAATAGTGTACTAGGTTAGGGTTAGGCCATAATTTTAGGTATAAATACTACGGGAGGCTCTTGGCTAGTCTTCGAACTGATAATAGGACTAAAATAAGGAAAATTGGAAAAAATCATCGCCTAACCCTAACCTGTTACCCATGTTACGTTGGTTCGCATACTTCGGGAGCACCCATATTTGTGATAACAAGGATTGCCGTCGCAAAATGAATGAACTTTTTTTCACTGATTTTTATTTCAATCAAACTCTATTTCGTAAAATCTTACTCGCTCCTGTCCGTTGATTATGACATCATCAGCAAATCGAACTTTTGGTCGATCCATACTTCGTATTGTCTTTTTCGTTGGATTGAGAAACGACGAATTTGCTGACTAATAAAGAAGTTGAATAATCACAAATTTTATCAACGTAAAAATAAAACCGTATCAAGCATGACCACCGATATATCAAGTTCATGATCGAGTTGACAAACAATTTTCATCAAAAGTTCTTTGAATTGGAAGTTCTTCGAAAATTTCATCCAAAACTCAAATTACATTAAAAAATGAAAGAAATATTTTATTTACCCGATTTGGCTGAAGTACTGTTAGTGTGACACTGTCGGTTTTCTCTCTAAAAAAAAATATATATAATAAAATGCTATATATCCCGATCTTATATTTCAATTATGCAGATTATTATATAAATCCATTCAAAATGTGAACCAGACTTCCAGTGTCATTGGTTCGTCTGCGGGAATAGTATTTCCGACAACGGCTGTTCGCTGGTCCATTTGCGGAAAACAAATTCCCAGTTACGGTCAATATAAACTTGTGCTTTAATCGGATGGGTTATAAAATCTACATCTCAGTTTTAATTCATGTATAGATTAAACTAAACTATCCTTAATTCTTTGACACAGCGTACAGTCTCAAAAATTCACCAAAATAACAACATTATAGAAGAAGATGAAATACAAACAGAAAGCTTTATTCGTTTGCTCTGAAGAACTATATATATTCTAACTCGTTGGATTAACTTCTACATACTTGTATGTAACAGCTTTGTAGCTGTTTTGGGTTACCGAGAACATACTGAGTCCTGCCTGCGTGTTGTACAAGAACAAGCTTAAACATACGTTCTGCTCTGGTAAACTGTTAAAATCGGGCACGAATCATACATATTAAACAGAAAAGCCAACGAATGTTGATTGATGTCGAATTGCAGTTCATATTATTCCACTTCATATTTGTGGTTAAGTCGATATTAAACACAACCAGTTTTGAGGAGTTAAGACTATAATCCCGCATTCCGTTCCAATACCTTATCAGCTCTATAACGCGTTCTCTATCCGCCATCATAACATTTTCAGAACCAATCTTGACTATTTGATCGTCCGGTAGGAGTTTATCTTCCGAAGGTCCGCCTAAAATAAATACAAATTAAATTTGTCACCATTTCTAGCGATAAATCGTCGGATACAAGTAATTGGGAAATCGTGTACGCTACTATTTATTCGATGTTTCAAAAATGTCATGTTCTACTTGTCGCCATTTAGCACACTTGTCCAACTGTCCTGAATTCTGGTGGGTATATATTGTAAGACAAATGGTTGTTGTAAGAATATGAAGCGAGATTCATGGTATGTTCTGGGTTAGGATACATATAATACCTTGACAAAGGGTTAAGTATTTATATGAAGTGAGGTTTGTACAACAAGTACACAAGTGTGGCGAAAATGGGTAAGTGTTGCACAAGTCGGACACGACATTTTTCGAGACACTGCTATTTATCCACTGGTATCACCATTTGTCACTGCTCTAGCCAAGCATGTAACGCATACAACACGGAGTGGGTCATTTTGATGCGCACTGTATAGTTAAATATACCAAAATAAGACTATATCGAAGACCGGAATTTTAAAGAACGGAATTTCATTATAGAAATCTTCTTCCTGTGACGCACTGCGCCCGTAACAAAACGCAGAAACAGTATTAATCATAAACAATGTCTTTGTTAGTTGCGGTTTTTCACAAGAGCACTGCGTTTATACAAACCGACCACAATACGTGTCGCATGCATCGTTGCTACATCAAATTCCATGCTATCGGGGTTTCACATATGTTCGCTGCATCGACGTAAAATGGGATGCGTTTGTATTGGCATTTTTGTCTTTAAAAAATAAAGTAAAGTCACCCAAAAAGTAGTGCATCTGGGTCAAATCTTTTTTATCTCTATATTCCTAAAAGCAAATTTCATTTGCAGATAAATTTAGAAATAGGGCGTAAATTTCCGTCACGCTTTTATTTGTCCTAATTTAAAAAGAGAAAATAGGAGTATTTGTCAAACTTTAACAACGCTGAGTCTATGTGGTAGAAATTGACTATAAGAAATTTACCCCCCCCCCCCCCCGCTATCGTAACCTTCGAGCTTGGCTTCTCATTTAGTTTCGGTCTTAAGAATTAATTCAAGCTACAATCTCACCAGAAAGAAAAGTTTAAATCTAGCAAATATAATTCTAATTATCACCTGGTGTTACTGATCTGATCACGACAGGTTTCTCGCTTCCTGCTATGAATCCGAATCCCAAATTATGATGACGTTCAATTTCATATTCACGAGGTTGTGGACTTCTCTGTAAACAAGGCAAGGCAGGGTTTTATTTTTTTGTGATAATGAACATAACGTCTTTAACTGCTAGCGGGTCCGGCCGGAGTCCGAAAAACGTGGGTAACAAAAATCTTGAGGGTCTAAAAACCGTTTCAAGCTACGAAAAATTGCTATGTTTGATAAATGAAAAAGAGGGGTCCAGCCCGCACTACTTGGTATTCCAATTTCGAATAATTCGATATATTCTATCCTAAATTCATAAAATGTTTTCTTAACTTGAAACAAACCAAGTTTCACATTAAGACGACCTGACGGATGAGAAAAATCTTCAATATTCAAGGTTTTCACAAAACATTTTTTCGAGTAAACCTATTTTGAAATTCGACTAACTAATTTGTTTGACAAATTTGATATGGTATTATTTTCATTTAGTTTTTAAACCGGATGCTATCCTGTATCATTGTACATAATGTTAAGAAGCACAAATAAAAACACAAAAATTGGAGAAAAAATATTTATACCAATATTTCTAGTGAAGCATGAAATTCGGCAGGCGTAACCTGATCGTCCTCAGTCCTCGGATCTTCATAAGTTACTGTTTGCGTGATATGACTGAAAAATATAATTTTAATCAAACTTTTCTCAACCAAATAGTAATAACGGTGGTTAGAAATTTAAATATTCACTTTCAAAGATCCAACTACACGTTTTCTATCGGAATGTGATTCGGCTTTATCTACCAGGATGCCAAAATAAATGATGAAGAGCTTCGGATTGTCGGCCATATAGATGTGACATTGCTTACAACAAGGGCTGGGCAATTTAAATTGAATCGAATCGAAAATTATTCGAATCGTTTCAGCGAAAATTTCCATTTGCCGCCATCTTTTTTTTTTATTTCTCCGCCAAAGATTGTTTTTTGAAGCCAGATTTGTACAATGTAATTCTGACATATAAGTGTATTCTTCATAGTGAGTTATTGAATTGTGAGCGAACGCTCAGCAAATTTTCTGAATAATAGATTTTATATTTTCTGTAATTTAGGTGCCTGGGTGGACACATCACAATGAGAATTCACATGCAATTGAATATCTTCCAAATATTAGAGATTCAATTCGAAAAAAAAAACGATTCGATTCTGATATAATCAGCTATTTCGAAATGTGCAGCCAGCTCTACTACTTACAATGCAATTTTCACCATATAACGCCGCTGGAAACTATATGGTCATTGGTTTGTGAAAATATTTTAGTGATGCTTACTTGATGTAATAGTTCTTATTGTCGTAATCGATTGCCATTTCCCATCCATACGGTAGATTATGCTTACATCTCCAAATTTCTGGCGGAGGAAGAATTTGAACTATTTGACTTTGTTTACTGAGAAAAAAATGGTTAAATTAGAAACGTGAAGTATCGAAATTTAATAGCCAGTTTATTTTTGCAGAGTTTTATTTGTTTGAATTCATTAGGACTATTTATACATTATGAACAGAATAATGATATCAAGCAAGTGATATTGCCATGAATCAATATTTATTATATATCAACAATGAATGATATTTGCGATCGTGGAAAATTAATTTGGAGTGTACGATATACGGGAGGCTTGAGAAAATCCATATATCATTAACTTTAGCTGATTATTTGGTTTCTGCGTGACTAACTACTTATCCTTGGTCAGACGAAACGCTACAGAAATATATTTGTGTTAGTGTGCAGCAAGACTCTTAAATCACTTAGGATCATTAAACTTTAGTTGTCGTTCGTTGGGCATAAAAAGATTTTTTCATCATATCACGGCACAAAGAAGTCTCTGGTTAAAACTCAAGCCAACTACCTCAACCAGTGTAGTGTAATGAATTGGCTACGTAATGGGGAAGCGAGAAGGTTCCGGTTCCCAAAAAAGATAGTAGCCCCAGGCCCCCAGTAGTGGCTGCATATACGGGGCCTTGCTCGAAGTGAAAAGAGTATGAAAAGCGTCTTATGAATGGCGTACTTTTTCGGTAATATTTTCAGAGTAAAATATAATAAAATATCACTATATCTAAAACGTAACGTTAATGATTAATGCGGCATTGCCGAAATTGGATTGTATGAAGATCCCCGAAATCGCTCCCATATTATGAGGATCTCGTACCCATTCGATAATTCGACTCTAATTAGCATATTTTTGTAATTTGCGACGAATTTTACAAATTTGCGTGGTTGAAATTATACAATCTAGGCCTAACAAAACGGATATACAGTAACGATTTCTATCAAATAAAACGCTTTTAGCGGTTCCTCAATCTTTCAATATTCGCGATTTACGATTGTCTCTATTGATTTAACGTCTCCGTTTCAAAGGTGAAATTTTTTACAAGAAAAGAATTGTATAATTGTAGTCACAATCGATTTCGGATGATTTTACTTCAAGCAATCGAAAAGAAAGTTTCGGGGATATGCAAATTTTAGCTCTCGCGAGAAACTAAATCATGTGTGAAAAGTAGCGATCGACACTATAAAGAAAGCGTCCAACATTAGCACGAAACTGGCCCATAATATTTTAAAAATTTAATCTTCAATGAGTGTCTCGTGCGGTATGAATTATTCAGTTGAACATTAAAATAAATTGGATAATAGATCTTTAAAGAAACGTAAAGTGATCAAGGTAAAACAAAAGAATTATGATCGAATTTTTGCACCATTGAACAATGCACGAGAATAAAACGCTAATAATATCACATATCAAAACAAGGTTGAGGAGATAAACTCAAGCAAGACATGGTTGAAAATTTGGCTCATTCCACGCGGGGGTAATTGCAATAGGTCTGTATGTCCGCACACCTGTTTGTTACTATAACAAAACTTATTTTTGGTATCTCAACTCGCTTATTATTATTCATATACGACAAGAATAGTAAAAAAACATTTATACGTAAGACATAATTACCAGATAAGGTTATTTTTAATTTTTGTTTGGTGCTATTCCAAAATTTCTCATTTACATAAATTTTCTTACTATTATTAAAAGACTAAATATGGCACAACGAAGTACTCAAATACGCGGGATTTGGCAGGTTTTTTTCGTGTTACGACCATTTAAAAACTAAATATGGCACAAGGAAGTACTATAGTCTAGTACAAGGGATTCAGCAGTCAAAGTTTAACTTTTTTTTACGAGTTATTACGAGATAAAATAACAGACATCTTTCACAAAACCAAATCATGCATCGAATACCGTGGTGTTTTTTTTTTTGGTCAAAGATAACCATAAAAGAGAGAGGTAGAATTTTTGGAAGAATTATATGGCGCCTGTGACATTAATATTTCAAATGGTCGATGCTTCAAACGCGTCAAGACCTGATGTCATCGTAATAATATAGTAACGATATGCATGGTTTAGTTCGTCGCTAGATATTTGTTTTGCGATGTCGTTAAGATGTAAGTACGACCCGCGGGCCAAATCCGGCCCGTTGGATAATTCAATCTGGCCCGCCTGATGCTGCCACAACCAAACTGAAATCCAATTTTGATGTTTTAGCTAGAAATAGCTAAGATTGCGGTTAAATTTAGTTTTGGCATGAGGCATATTGTTTTCCTCCTTTGCTTTGTAACATTGTGAATATTGTTCAAAAATGTAACTTTTTACGTCACACTTACATGGCCCGCTAGTCAAGGTGGGCCAAATTTTTGGCCCCTGGTTTAAACACCTTGCCCACCCCTGGGTTAGGCCATATATCGTAGCGATAGCACGGGTCTAAAGTCAAACAATCTCAAACTGAGGAAATATAGTTCCTACGCCTTTGAATAATATACAATAATGATGGTCTTTATCGTGAGCCACCAGTCCTTGTGGGTTATATTGGTGAATCTATTGAATGAATTCACTGCTAAGAGAGGCACTGAAATTTAAAGCCACAACCTCACACTGACCCAAACATTATTACAGTCTAATGTGCTTCAGAAAGTCAAATCACACTGATGAAATAATTACTAGACTGACATTGAATTAACTTTTATGTTAATAGTAATAATAGACGGTTAATATTAATATAGAAAATGAAGATTTGGTATGAATTTGCAGAACATAATGTTTACACGATAAAACCGGGTACAATGAGCAGTCAGAAGTCTGATTTGAAAATTCCAAACAAATGGCAAATAGTTTTGCAACTTCCGGTTATTTTTATGCTTCAATGGCGGCTAGTTACTAGCGAACCTAGACTGAGAATAAAATCTCGAAATTGAAGATTAAAATGATGTCACCTAGCATTGAAACTACTCTCGAACTGAACAACCACAGGCAATCGAAAGAAGACAGATTTCAACTCCTAAAGCCCTTTACTGATTGTAACAAATATTATGAATGAAAAGGAATGAACCAACACGGCTCTCGGAAAACGTTTGTTTGTGTCATGAATATGATATACAACAGAGTAATGGTAACGCTACGCCAGCTCATTCACAAATTGATTTAATTACCATTGTTGATAATTAAAAAGAGACAACCGCTGTGAAAAGCCTATGTACAATGCATAACATCGCTAATCATAAACGCTGTGGAATTTTCCGCCAGGCCAAAATTAACGAACGATATCGTAAAAGGAGATTGACGAAGGGTCAGATCATTTTGGTATCGGTAAAAGGAAGTGTCGTTGTCACCAAGTCATGTACCGAAAGCGTTTGTTTATTTATTATTTATATATATATATATATAGATATATACATTAATTGTGTTTTATTGGTTTAACAAGAATTAAACTCTCTCTCTCTCTCTCCATTTCAAAATTGGATTCCGACTTTTTTGTAGTTTATTGGAGGTCAAAGGTTAGACGAAGAGGGTAATATGGTTTCAATCGCCATCGGAATGCCCTACTTCGTAGAGGGAAAATTGAGCTGTCATATTTGCCATAATTTATCACATATGCTCACAGCGATATGTCCCATTGAGTAGCGCCAATGATGTGGGGTTATTTAATACGAAGATAGAGAGAGGCAAAACGATTTGAATAGATATATAATATCATTCCGAGCATACTCGTTGTTGGGGTTTAGGGTACCATCAATGCCCGATATTCGATAAAACGTGTTTTCGACAATAAGCTTCATGTCACGGTACCAAATAACAGTTTATAAATTGTCTTTTCATGGCGCCAGAGCAAGTACCTTTGCCATTGAAAAGATTAAAACAATAAAACCTCAGATACTTCAAACTTTCTATTCAGATTTTTTTAATTGGGACTTAAAAAATTAAAACACGAAAAGGGTCATCAACTTTTTTCAAAACTATACCGTATCGCGAAGATGTAAATTTGGATATTTGCGCCATTCTGTTATTATATATATGTGAAAAGTAAATTTATATGAGAACGCACTGGTTCGCAGTGTAGTATATTAAACAATGAAACGAAGAAAAGCTACAAAATTACGAACAACGGTGATTTTATTGGGTCTCCGTAACAGCGCAAAAATACATCGCTCGATTTCTCAAAACTTTGAGAATTGGGATATACAATAGGAAGGAAAGGAAGGTAATTTAAATCCGATATCCTTAAAACGAGCGTTCTACAAATAAAACGCAACTGAAGTGTAAAATCTTCACAACAAAAACGTTCCGGGGGCACAACGTTTAGGATTCGTACCTAAGTGTAACAGCGTGACGTGCGTGTCGGTTTTCAGGGTTTAAAGACCTTAAATTAGTCAATTCAAATTCCGTCATGCGGATCAATATCCCGAGCCAAACAATAGACTGCTGCTAACAACCGTGTTTCCTTCCCTAGATAAATAAAAACATTTCCCGATGCAATTAAACGTACATGTTTTCAGACGGATGGTTTTACCAGTGTACAAACAACCATAACACTTACCGGTATTCCACTCCGCGCGCTTTCGCCCTCTATGATGTATAGAGTTCGGGTTTTTTAATTAGATTATTGGAACGACCCTAATTGTTTTGTTTATTTAAAATCAGTCGACAATTACTGGTTATTATTAATGACTATACCAAGCGTCAGAGAAAAAGCCTGATCCGTCGATGCGTTCATTAAAATTTTTTTTTTTTACAGACGTGTTACATATAAGATATAATGCACATCAGAATATGAAATACTTATTACCATATCTCGAAATAACTGTTTTATAAAACGATTGTCCCTGATCTCCCGGAACAAGGCTCTGAAAAATCAGTCAATTTGAAGCGGAAGGTTCATATTCAATTTTTCAGATTCGGTCCAATCAACATCGATTTGCTATTGAGGTTAAAAGTTAGTAGTGACGGAGTGGAATTGTATTGACTGGCTAACGAACCAGATCTTGTACCTGACATTTTCATAAAAAAAATGACAAATAGTTGGGCTAATGATGTAGCAAAGAATGTAAGATAAAAACCTTTTCTA